TGACCCGCTTTAAATCTGGTCACCTTACCTTCGTGCAACTTGATCTTTTTTTAATTTTGAAAAAAGAGAAGGGGGAATGTATAAGGAATCCTTAGCCTTTCGTTTAAGTACTTTTTAAGGTATGAGGTTCTGTTAAGAACATTTTGAATAAAAAGCTTAAAACATTTTTACCAATACATTTATTGATTTTGCTTTGCCAGAGGAATGTTCTAAAATTTTTTAAACTAAATTTTTTTTGGTAAACTAGGAATGTGAGCAAGTGCTAAACTATTACAGTAGCATTAGATTATTTTTGTGTTTCAAATAGCCTGTAAACAAAATACTTCTGGACCTATGAGAAAAACTTATAGTATAATTATGAAAGGATTTATGTGAAGGCTTTAATTTGTTTTTATGCCTCAAACCCGAGAATCTTCTTTTCTTTATTTTGGCAATCCAAGCCTTATATACCTTGTTTATAAAATTATTGACATTCTTTAAAAAATTGTTAAAAAAAAAGAATGTAGATAATTCATCTACATGATGAATTATCTGTGAAAAATAATCCTAAAAGACTTTAGGAAGACTACTAAACTCTTGGAAAAAGTTACTCTTAATTAGTGAGATCCTTTCTTTAAAGACTATAATTGGATGAAGGCAGAGGTAAAGTGGTGTAGAACTTCTGAGTTTGATGAGTGAATTGAGATAGGTCATGAGTTTTCTTGTGTGTGTGACTGAATCCCTAAATGTATTCAACATAATTTTAATGTTTGATATTAAAAAATTAATAATTGAAAATTCCTTAGTATATATTCTTTATCTTGTAGGTAGAAATTATCAAAATATACATGGTAACCTAAGTAGATATTATAGTTCATGAAGATCAAATATTTTGAATACAATATCCCATTTTATCAACTATTGTCGACTGGCATTTATTTTAGCCATTAGAAATTTATTTAGCCTGAGGGCGGGGTGTGTGTGTGTGTGTGTGTGTGTGTGTGTGTGTGTGTGTGTTTTGACAGCCTGAAGAATGTGGCATGCACAGAACATCTAGGATAGTGGAAAGGCATACTCTAAGATACCAAAAAGCAACCCCACTGTCATTGAATGGATTCCATTGTAAAGCAGTCCAATAAAACAAAGTGGTCAAGTGGACAGGGGGTAGTGAGATTGGGCAGAAGTGAGTGTCCCACCAATTTTGGACTACTCTTGAGGTGTAAGAGAATTGGAAATGAGAGTGCTTGGGTAAGGTCTTTCATAACTAGGGCATTTTCTGAATTAAGGTTCAGAACCCTCATAAATCATTAAATGCTTTGGGTCTTTGTGAGAAAGGGAGCATAAGTAAATACGCATTTTTAAGTCTGATTTTGCATTGGTCACACACCTCCAATCTATTAAAATTGTGCAACATTTTAATGTAGCAACAAGATAACAAAGTGATATTACTTTGGGTTGTAAAATTTAGGAAACAGGTAGACAGGAAAGATCTCCTGCCACTCTCCTCAAAATAAGGATAAAGGTGCCTTGTTTAGCATAATAGTTTTATTGGAGGATTTATTTGAGTAGTGAACTGACTGGTTTCATTTTAAGTGAATAATTTTTGGGGACACAGATTTATAAAGACTTTTCAGGCATATACGTTGTTTTATGAGGGGGCTTCAAAAAATGTGTGGAAACATTCCACTTTTCCAGGGAATTTTTGAAGGTACTTAACTTATATAGGTAGGCTAACCCTCAGAATTGTATTCTCTATTTATATATTTCTATCAAGTGTTTCATGTTCTTTTAAAGTATTGCTTTTAAATTAAAGAAACAATAAAGGTGGTAGCAATCAAAGAAAAGCCAAGGAAGTGTTGTTTTCTTGAAAGTGGGCAAAAAGCTTATTGTGCTTTTTGCAGTAACTGTGCTGTTGCTCAGAAAAGTTTTAGCTTTTTTTTTTTAAGAAAGATTTTTAGGGTCTACGTGTTAGCCTTTTGTATTTTTTGGAAGGCATAAAAACGTAAACATTTGGTTTTGCAAACAGTCAAACTTTACCATAATCTTATTTCCTCATGTGATTTTAGGTGTAAATTTGAGAGTGATTTTAGAGAATTCTGGATATTCAACATATAATTATTAAAGTAAACTTACAACTTTCTAGTGTCTAGCCCAGTGGCTCTCATACATCCTAATGCCGTGACCCTTTCATACAGTTCCTCATGTTGCAGTGACCCCCAACCATAACATTATTTTCATTGCTACTTCATCACTGTCAGTTTGTTACTGTGATGAATTCAGTGACTCTGTAAAAGCGTTGTTCAATCTCCAAAGGGGTCGTGAAGCACAGGTTGAGAACCGCTGGTCTAGCGTGTTACAGCATCAATTTTATTATCTTGTCATAGTTATAATCTGAGAATCATGCTAAAAATGAAATGCTGTCTAAGCCAGAAAGGTAGTATATTAGGACAAAGTAATTTGCTATGTTGCTTTGGGGGTGGATAAGAAAGGGGCTAGAATTTTTGTTGGGGGAGAGGGGACTGGGACAGTGAGGGCACAGGCTGAATGTGCACAATGTGGGCTTTTTATATCCTCAATTATCCTGAGGGCATTTATATATATGTTTTATATATATGTTTAATATAAAGGGGGTGGTGCTGGAGTAACCAAAAATGTTACAATCATTTTAAACACTTTTGTGTTTAACAAAACACAAGTAGAACAAGAATAATTGTATATACTGCTTTCTGACTGTCCTTTTCTTTTGGCTTAAAAAAAAATCTTTGTAAGTAATAATGGCTGGGTACTTCAGATATATTTTTGTAAATTTATCTTGATAGCACTTTTATTATACAACAAGTTAATAAAAAAAATTCTGATTTTGCTAAAGGGTTATATGATTTTTTTTCTTCTTCAGTTTTAATGACCATTGCAATATCTTCTTAGTGGCTTACATTTATTTTCCTCCATCAAAAAGGGAGTCTTAGGAAATGATTATTTTGAGATAGCTGTTTTTGTTTATTTTTTTTCATTGCAATAAAAAATATATATATATTTAATCATTTTATTAGGGGCTCATACAACTCATCACAATCCATACATACATGCAATAAAATATTTTGATGAAACTATAAAATGAAAAATATTTTGATTAAATTACATTTATGTTCTCATGCTTTTTTCCCTTTTAGAATGTATTTTAAAATCAATTTGTCATTGTTTGAATTCTATTTTGTCAACCAAATCAGTAGTCTGTGGCCATTACTACCTAGGACATCAGTTGATTTTATGATGCATGTTAGACTTAAGAGTTCTCATTGAAATTTTAATTTACAGAGTCAACGACAGTGAAGTCAAGTGTTTAGTCTGTTATTTTTATGAAAATAACTTTGTGAAAGTAATTTTTATGAAAATAGCTTTTATGAAATAATGAAATGACTTAATTGGCCAGCATGCTTTATAAATTTTAGAGGAAAAACTTATCTCTATTCTTAATGGTAGTATTAAACTAATAACATATAAGGTATTAAATGATTTCAGCAATATTGCATTTCTTTTAAAAAATGAATGTTGATGTGTTTTCATATTAAATATAATTCTGTTCTAGGTTAACTTCTCAGCCCGGTGCTACATTACCAAACGGACATAGTAGCTTATGTAAGTATTCTGTTATGAATTGATTAGTATTAAAACTATTATAATGGTGTTAGGGTAAGCATTAAAGTGGGGGAAATAGGATAATTTAATAGTATGTTTAGCATGCAGTTGAAGATGGCTGAATTTCAATCATAATATAAAAGTGCATAATTTTTGAACTTTAAGATAATAGTCCTAATTGAAATAATTTAAATTATAGCAGAATTTAAAACAGCTATACAAATTTTAGATAAATGAATATAAAAGCAATGTAAGTGGTTATATTCAACTTTTTGTAGTATATTTTTTCTTTTAGTAGTAGTATTTTAAGACACTTATTAACTTTTCTTTTTTCTTTTTGTACTGTACACTTTGAAATGGAAACATTTTCTCTTTATAGCCCTTCGAAGCCATCCCCTTCGTGGAGAAAAAAAGGGTGATGGAGACCTTTCTTGTATAAATGGTGACATGGAAGTCAGAAAAAGTTGCCGTTCCAGAAAAAACAGATTTGAAAGTGTGAATCAGAGTTTGTTATTTGATCAACTAGTAAATAGGTATGAATGCTTTACTTAAGAAATCTCGTTTAATTAGTTCATTAAAAATGTCTAAAATTGGAATATTCATTCATATTAAGAAGAGTTGTGCAACCATTACCATAATCAATATTAGATCATTTTCTTCTTATTGTTATCTCCCCTTTCTTTTTTTTTTTTCACCTTTTCCCAAATTTATTTATTCCTCCTCCTTAAATAATTTAAAATTCTGTATTGGACAAGTCAGATACAAACATATTTGTGCAAATCAAGTGTAAACATGGTATGGCTTAAAAGTCATCCGTTCCTCTGCCTCACCATATACCGCAAGACTTTAGTCATTATTCCTAGATCATCTGAACATTGTGCCACACCCACACACAGTACAAACCAAATAAATCTACCCCAACTAGGAATAAAGTGTTAGGATACTATTGAGCCAGCTCTAGCAATTTTGGCAAAGACAATAAACATCAATTTCATGTACGTCAAGAAATAAAAATGTGCAGGGCCAATTATTGTTATCTCCCCTTTCCTCCCTAGCCTTACTTACCATGTCCCTGGGTAATTAATAATTATAGATTTACCTATCCTGGATTTCATATACAGAAAACCTATAAATCCAAATCAAGAAATAAACAAAGCCCCAACAAAGTAAATGACAGAGAAAAACTTTGATAAAAAAGAAAGCAGAAAATACTAAAAATGGTTCAAAAGGGAGGAGAGCAAATGATCAGATGTTACCTTTTAACCTAACTGCATCCGCCCTAATGGACATTACATTGCTCTGTCTGACAGCAAGGTTATTCACATCTCTGGACTACTGTCTGGACTACCATCAGAGAGATTCATTGAGGCTTCCACTATACAAACTGAGGGTTCAGAATTTAAGCTCTGCTACCTTCAGACCTCCAGATTTGGATTTTATTATTATTATTTTTCTTTTTGCAGAGTTAAGTTTCTTTTATTGAATGTGGTACAAAAGAGGGTTTAGTCAAAAGACCAAAGCCCATGTCATCATCAGATTCCTCAGACTCTTCTCTCTTGGCTTCCACTTTCTTCTCCTCAGCCTGGGCAGCAGCGGTGGAGGGTGCAGGACCTCTGGCTGGTGTGGCACCAGCAGCTGGGGCAGGGCCACCAGCCCCTACGTTACAGATGAGGCTCCCGATGTTGACGTTGGCCAGGGCCTTGGCTAGAAGGGCTCCATGTGGATGCTGGCGGCCTTAATGAGGGCATTGATCTTGTCCTCCGTGATGGTCATCTCGTCGTCCTGCAGGATGCGAGCCGAGTAGATGCAGGCGAGCTCGGAGAAGGAGGCCATGGTGCGGGATTGCTGGGCGGGAGGCTGCCGGGGGCGGTGCTAGTTGCTGGATGATGTGAGGGGCTCACCCCAACGTGGCCTTAGCTTCCTCTTAAGAACCCAGCACCTTAGTGGCAGCCGAGGAAAAAGCTGGATTTTATTTTTTATACTCCATGGATCACACAATCTGGTGTGCTTCCTCTGTGTGGACTTAAGTTGACACCTCACTTAGCTGCTGCTTTTCAGAGCCCCGATAATATTCTTTCTGATGCCAAGCACCGTCTGTTTTCACCATACTTTGCTCTCGTACCCATATCTCCATTAGGGTGAGCATAAAGTAGGACCATGTCATAAGAACTAATTGTTCTTAGTTTAGGGCTACTATTAAGTGTGAGCCTAAAGTTCATGCTTATATCTATGGCTTATATGTGTCCTTCGTTCAATTTAGAGACAGCATTCTCATTTTATTGGAGAACATTCTATTTGATAGTGTAATTAGGTTAGCCAGTGGTATAGAATTTAAAACACTGTTGAGAAAAGGAAATTATACACATATAGGTCAGCCTTTTAGACTGCAATTCATGAATTGTTGACATGTACAGATTAAACACTTGAGTAGATACTATTTGTATGAACAATGAGGGGTGGGTGGGGTTAGGACAAAAATGTTCAGTGCCGTTCATTCACAAAGGCAGAACCATGCCTGCTAGAATAACACATCATACAAAAGGGAAGAGGCCATGAAAATAGTAAATCTATGGTAATCCCAGGCCACTTTATCTTGAGCACCTGCAAAGGAAGGGCTTCAAACCAAAGTACAATGACCACCAAGTTCATAACCTTGGGATAGCAGTCATCTGCTTCATCCCACACTAGAGTGTCTCAGCCTTAAGTCCAACTGAGTTTTTCAGTTCCTTAAATCTTCTACAGGTGAACTTAAGGTAGAGCCCAGTTCATTTAGTGGAGTTTCCAAATAGGATCTTAATGGTATGGCCTGTGAAGGATTTTGTGCTCCTCAAAAGGGCAGTCTAATGAGTTGATTTTTAAAAACCAGTTATATAAATGTGGGGACTTCAAAAAGTTTATGGACAAATTCCATTGTCTTTTAATTGTTTTTCCATAACTTTATAAAGCCCCTTCTTGTATGTTGGTATGTGTGTGTGTGTGTGTGTGTGTGT